TTAAACTGCAGCAAGGGAGGTCTAGGTTGGACATTAGGAAAAAGTTCCTCACTGTCAGGGTGGTTAAACACTGGAATAAATTGCCTAGGGAGGTTGTGGAATCTCCATCTCTGGAGATATTTTAGAGTAGGTTAGATAAATGTCTATCAGGGATGGTCTAGACAGTATTTGGTCCTGCCATGCGGGCAGGGGACTGGACTCAATGACCTCTCGAGGTCCCTTCCAGTCCTAGAATCTATGAATCTATCTATGAATCTATGAATAAACTTGTTTGTCTGAATGATTGGCTGAAGTAGGACCGAGTGGACTTGTAAGCTCTAAAGTTTTACATTGTTTTATTTTTGAATGCTGTTATTTTTTGTACATAATTCTACATTTGTAAATTCAACTTTCATGATAAAGAGATTGCACTACAGTACTTGTATGAGGTAAATTGAAAAATACTATTTCTTTTGTTTTTTAGAGTACAAATATTTGTAATCAAAAATAAATATAAAGTGAGCACTGTACACTTTGTATTCTGTGTGTAATTGAAATCAATATATTTGAAAATGTAGAAAACATCCAAAAATATTTAAATCAGTGGTATTATATTATTGTTTAACAGTGCGATTAATCACATGATTAATCGCGATTAATTTTTTAATTGCACGATTAATGATGATTAATTTTTTAATCACGCGATTAACTGCGATTAATTTTTTAATCGCTTGACAGCCCTAATCTTTTTCTTTTTAGACGCTATGACCAAAACTGCACACAGTATTCAAGGTGTGAGTGTACTATGGATTTATATAGTGGCACTATGATATTTTCTGTCTTTTCTGTCCCTTTCCTAATGGTTCCTTATATTGTTAGCTTTTCTGACTGCCACTGCATATTGAACAGATGTTTTCAGAGAACTATCCACAATGACTCCAAGATCTCTCTCTTGAGTGGTAACAGCTAATTTAGAGCTCATCATTTTGCAAGTATAGTTGGAATCATGTTTTCCAATGTGCATTACTTTGCATTTATCAACATGGAATTTCATTTGCCATTTTGTTGCACAGTTTTGTGAGATCCTTTTGTAACTCTGTCATCAGCTTTGGACTTAACTATCTTGAGTAATTTTGTATCATCTGCAAACTTTCCCACCACACTGTTTACCCCTTTTCCAAATCATCTATGAATATGCTGAACAGCACAGATCCCAGTACAGATCCTTGGGAGACCTCACTACTTACCTCTCTCCACCATGAAAACTGACCATTTATCCCTACCCTTTGTTTCCTATCTTTTAACCAGTTACTGATCCATGAGAGAACCTCCCCTTTTATCTGTCTTACTTTGCTTAAGAGCCTTTGGTGTGGGACCTTTTCAAAGGCTTTCTGAAAGTGCAAGTACACTATAGCCACTGGATTACCCCTATCCATATGTTTGTAGGCCCCCTCAGATAACTCTAAAAGATCGGAGAGGCATGATTTCCCTTTACCAAAGCTGTGTTGGCTCTTCCCCATCAAATCATGTTCATCTCTATGTCTGATCATTCTGTTCTTTACCACAGTTTCAACCAATCTGGCTGCACTTGAAGTCAGGTTTACCAGCCTGTAGTTGCCAGGATTGCCTATGGAGCCTTTTTTTAAAAAAATCGGCTTTACAGGGAGCTCCAGGGCCACCCGGGGGGGGGGGGGGAGTGGGGCAATATGCCCCAGGCCCTGGGCCCCGCAGGGGCCTCCATGACAGTTTTCAGGGCCCCCTACAAGAGTTTTTGGCGGGTCTTCGGCGGCAGGTCCTTCAGTGCCACCGAACACACCCGGAGCGAAGACCCGGAGCGTCTTCTGCTCTGGGTCTTCAGCGGCAATTCGCCAGCGAGGGCTTCTTCCGCTCTGGGTCTTCGGCGGCAGTTCGGCAGCGGGTCCTTCACTAGCTCCGGGTCTTCGGCGGCAGTTCGGTGGCGAGGGTTCCTTCCGCTCTGGGTCTTCGGCGGCAGTTCAGCGGCGGGTCCTTCACTCACTCCGGGACCCGCCGCCGAAGTGCCCCGAAGACCCGGAGCAGAAGGACCCCCGCCGCCGAAGACCTCAGGCCCCCAGAATCCTCTGGGCGGCCCTGGGGAGCTCTATCACTCGGGACAAACACACCTGGATTGTACAGAGCCCTGGAGCATGGACTGGAAGCAACAACCCTGTGCTGATATTTTCCATCACAGACATCAAATCACACACACACACACACACACACACACACAAATCGAGCCACACCCACATAGCTTGGCTATATACAGCATGTGAGAAGGGGACAGACTGACCTGGCCCGGGGGTCAGGAAGGGCATCAGATCCCTGGGACGGCCATAGATGGAGTAGGCAGGGTTACCATCTTTGCCCTTCATGGTCATCTTGGCTGGCACCATGTACTTGGGCCCCGGGGAGCACTCATCCTGCAGATGGAGGCGGCGGATGCCGAAGCTGTACGCAGGGGCTCGGTAGCGGGAGGGGTCGTGAAGGGGGTAACCTGCAACAGAAAGGAGAGATAGAGCCAGGGCACAGAGGGCATGGGCCAGATAGTGAGAGCTCCCAAGCCCAGCCCTGAAGGGAGCGTGGGGCATGGCAGAGCTGTCTCCACACAGGCCACTGGGGCAGGCATGGACCCCAGCCCAGACCTGAGAAGGGCAAGGGGAGGGGAGAGCTCAGGGTGGGTGAGCAGCACAGGTCTTATTGTGTAGGAAAAGCAGTGAGTGGGGGAGAAATAAGAGATCCCTTGGTGCAAGGGGGCAAGGTGAGGGGTGCCCTTGGGGCGAGCTCGGGGTGGGTGAGCAGCCCCATTCGGCTGCGGGTGGAGAGCGCCCCCAAAGCAGAGCATTGGGCATGTGCATGGAGCTGCCAACTGGCCCTTGTGTCCCTCTCTCCATGATGCTGGTGGGGAGCCCCGGCCCACCTCTCCTCACGGAGCCTGTGGGGGCTCCTCGCTGACGCTCTCTCTCACCTACGTTTGTGGGGAGCCCGTACTTGGGCCCGGGACTGCTGTAGAGAGCAGCGATGGGCCCTCTGGGCCGGTGGGGTCTCCATGTTCCCACCCAGACGTCAGCAGACATGCTGGATTCCCGGTGTTTTCCCACAGCTGGTAAGGAGACAGAGAGCCCCGGTTAGGGAGAGGGCTGGGGAGCAGAAACAGCCCTTTGCCCGCCCATCCCTCTGCAATACACAGGTTGGCCTGTCACACTCCAGTAGGGGGCAGCAGCACACCTACAGCTAATACTGGTCTACTGGTTAGAGCAGGGGACTGGAGGTCAGGCAACCTGGGATCTCTTCCCAGCTTTTCCAGCCTCTCTGCATGACCTTGGGCAGATTGCTTTACCTCAGGGTGCCTCTGTACAATGGGGACATTGTCTTTGGATGGCTGTTTGAGATGCTCGGATGAATGGTTCCCTGCACCAGGATCGTTATTTTTCATCAATCGGAAGAGAGAACTGCTATGGGAATGGCCCCATCACACTTCGGCCGGGGGAGGGCAGCACGCACACAGCTCACCGAGAGAATCAGCTTTAGCCAGAGGACCCAACACACTGCAGCAGGGGCAGCAGCACCCATACTTCAGGAGTCCTGTCCCCCAGGTCCTGACCCCAGGGGCTAGTGCAGAATTGGTGGGCAGACCTGGGCTCTCACTAAGGTGACACAATCATCCTTGTCCCACACCTGCGCTCTGCTCTAGCTCAGGAATTCTCCTTTGGGGATGAAGCTTTCTCTGCCGGGTCTCAGGTCCTAAAGAGGAATCGGTTGGGAAGTTGCCGCTGTTCCTGAGTCACTGGGTCTGCAGAAGCAGTCGCTCCGTTGCAGGAGAGATTGCCTGTTGGATTGGAGCACATCAAGGAAGGATCCTACTTTTTCTCTGCTTTTTTTGTCCCTGTTCGAGGCTCTCTGGACTGCTCCTACCATTCCCAGTGGTGCATTAGAGACCCCCCCCCCCCAGGGAGACCTGTGCCGGTACACAGAGGTAAAGGCACTTGTGCAGTGAGATGCCACGCTGGGATACAGCACTAGAGCTCAGCAGCAAGGTGGACTAGCGTGGCTCGTCTCTACTGGGCTACTGCACCCGCTCCGCACCTGACGCTCACATCCAAGGATCACACCGGCTATCAGGAAGGTCTAAGGGGACGAACTGCACAAGGAGACAAGATCAGCAAGGCCAATGAGCCTCTACCTGCTGGGATTTC